AATGTTCCTCTCGCCTTAGCGCCGCGCACATTCGTCGTCTCGTCTTGAAGGTGTGCAAACATTTCAAGGATTCGCATGGTAGAATCTCAAGAATGGTGTTCTGGTTTGATGTCGAAATGTCGGGACGCAACCGTCACCTTGATTCGTGACGGTGAAATCCCAGGAACGGCATCTTGGCACGATTGCGGGTTTTCTGACGGTTGACTTCAAATCGGGCACTTCCTGCAAAAAAAAATCTGGTAGGGACACGTGAAGGGGGGACTTAGAGGGAGGGAGTATTGCAACCTCGTTGGTGCGACTTGGATCTACATTGGCCGTCCTCCTCCTCCTCCTCCTCCTCCTCCTCCCCTCCTCCTCATCCTCCTCCTTCCCCTCATCCTCAGCAGCAGCAAAACCACCACCACCAGCATCATCATCATCATCATCATCATCATCATCACCATCATCACCATCACCATCACCATCAGCATCAGCATCACCATCATCATCACCATCATCATCATAATCATAATCATCATCATCATCATCATCATCATCATCATCATCATCATGATCATCACCGTCATCAGAATCATCCGCATCATTATCAGCAGAACCATCATCAGCATCAGCATCATCAACAGCATCATCATACTACTCATTATTACAATCCTCATCACCATCATCGTCATCGACATCATCGTCATCGTCATCATCGTCAGCATCGGCATCGTCGTCATCATCAGCATCATCATCACCATCATCATCATCATCATCATCGTCCACAGAATCATCATCTGCATCATCATATCATCGCCATCATCACCAGCATCGTCATTATCATCCTCCTCCTCCTCCTCATCATCATCACCATCATCATCATCCACGTCACCACCATCATCATTAGCATCATCATCAGCAGCAGCAGCATCGCCATCATCAACAGCATCATCATCCTCATAATCATCCTCATGATAACAGCAGCACGGCCATCAGCATCATCAGCATCGTCATCATCATCATCAACGTCATCGACATCATCACCATCATCATCGTCGTCATCATCGTCATCACCATCAACATCATCATCGCCATCATCGACATCGTCGTCCTCACCATAATCGGATGCATCCTACTCATCCTCATCCTCGTCCTCATCCCCATCCTCATCCTCTTTACCACTCTCATCCATCCTTATCGTCGTCGTCATCCTGGTGTTTATCCTCCTCCTCCTCCTCCTCCGCTTCCTCCGGTCCTCCTCCTCCTCCCCCTGCACCCGCTCCCCCCTCGGCAACCCGTGACGAACGAACAACACACACCCATACCCATAGAGGGGTCGTTGGGAGGAGGACTGGCTATGGGTATGGGTGCGGACTGTCGGACCCTGGGGAACGCCCCCGTTCGAGCGGGGACCCCCATCCGACAACACGCACCCATAGCCCTCTCCGATCCCCCTATGGGTATGGGTGTGTGTTGTTGGTTCGTCAGCCCGCCCCTCCCTCGGAGGCGAGATGCCCCCCGGTCGGGACGCCCTGCGCGGAGCCGACGGCACTTTTTTTGCCCGACCTCCTCCTCCTCTTGCACCTCCTCCTCCTCCTGCACCTCCTGCACCTCCTCCTGCACCTCCTCCTCCTCCCCCTCTCCTGCACCTCCTCCTCCTCCCCTCCTCCTCCTCCTCCTCCTCCTCCTCCTCCTCCTCCTCCTCCTCCTCCTCCTCCTCCTCCGCTTCCTCCGGTCCTCCCCCCTCGGCAACCCGGCCCTCCCTCGGAGACGCGATGCCCCCCCGGGTCGGGACGCCCTCTGCGCGGAGCCGCCGGCACTTTTTGTTGCCCGGCCTCAGGCGCCGGAGAGCGAGTTCACCAGACGCCGCCCCGCCGCCGAGCTCTTCAGGCGGGGCTCCTCCTGCTTCAGCCTGCTGCCGACGACGGCGACGACGACGACGACGACGAGAACGACGACGACCACGAGAACGACGACGACGACGACGACCACGAGAACGACGACGGCGGCCACGAGAACGACGACGGCGACCACGAGAACGACGACGGCGGCCACGAGAACGACGACGGCGACCACGAGAACGACAACGGCGACCACGAGAACGACGACGACGACGACGACGACGACGACGACGACGACGAGGACGACACCGTGCGTTGTCGCCGTTCGTCGTCGTCGTCGTCCTCCTGCTCCTCCTCCTCCTCCTCCTCCTCCTCCTCCTCCTCCTCCTCCTCCTGCGAGAGCCAGCGTGGCCTGTGGCCAACACACACCCTCTGACCGCGGCCTCCTCATCGTCGCCTTCGTCGGTATCGACTTCGGCTATTCGGCGTCCTTCGTGGTCGGCGCCGTCACCGCCGTCGTCGCCGTCGTCGCCGTCGGCGTCGACGTCGACGTCTGCACTGGAGCGTCCTCTTTCCCACACCCCGCCTCCATCCCCCTCTCGTCCTCCTGCTTCTCCATCCCCCCAGTGTGAAAAAAATCCTCGTCGGCCCGCTACCAAGCGTGCAGGCAGAGGGTCGGG